CAATGTGAAAACCCCACATCATTGTGCCACGGTGTAGAGACTGGGTTTTCAGGACCCTGTGCATTACTGAAATAATGAAGCACAGGCTCCCTCTACCTCCCAAGCTAGGACCACCCCAGCTCATCCTAGGGTGAACACAGAATCACTGGGGTTCATTTGATTAAATACAGAGAGATTCGGGCTCTCCTTGCCCCTTCTCCATTTCCACTTCATCTGGGAGTCCTCCCTGACTGTTCTTGCCCATCCTTCAGAGCCAGGGGTTGTACAGACAGCATCCCCACAAATGCAGAAACTGAGGTGCAAAGGAAATAATCACTTAGTGAGTTATGCACTGGCTGCTCCTCATCTCAGCCCTATACACCAGAAACCTTAAATTCCAGAAATGCAAATCAAGACCATAACATTTACCATTTTACACTCATTCAATCAGTAACAATGGAGACACCTGAGCATAGGAGTGCTGGTGAGGATGAAGAGCAACCGGATGGAGATGCGTAAAGGGTCCAACCAATTTGGAAAACACCTGGGCATGTTTTCTAGTAAAGGTAACTGCAAATGTGCCCCCCAGTCCAGCAATTCTGCTCCCAGCTCTGTGACTTATGCCTCAGGAGACAGGACAAGCAGGTTCACAGCAGCATTGTGTGTAAGAGCAAAAAGGAAAACAATCCACATGCCCATCAACAAAAGAACAGAAAATACACTGTGTTGTGTCCAAATGACAGACCACTGTGCATCAGTGGAAATTAATGAACAACATCTACTATTATTTGCAACAATAGAGATAAAGCTTATGCATGTGATGTTGAAGAAAAAAGCAAATTCCAGAGGACTGTGTATGGTTTCATGTTCTTTTCACAAAGTTCAAAAATAACTAAAACTGAACAATTTCTATGTATCAAAATACATGATTTGAAAAAGGCAAGGAAATGCTAAATAATTTAGGGTAGCCCTGACCGGTTTGGCTCAGCAGTTAGAGCATTGGCCTGCAGACCACTGAGTTGCAGGTCCGATTACAGTCAAGGGTACCTACCTCAGTTGCGGTTCATCCCTGGCCCTGGTCGGGTCGTGTGGGAGGGAACCAGTCGATGTGGCTCTATCACATTGATGTTTCTCTCTGTCTCTCTCTCTCTCTCCCTCCCTCCCACTCTATCTGATGATAAATACAAAAATATCCTCAGGTGAGGAATAAAAATAATAATAATTTAGGGTAGTGGTTGCCTCAGAGAAAGAGGCCAATAGATAAGGTGAGGAGAAGCACATGGAAAGACATACCTCGTTATTAAAGTGCTGGCATTCAGGGTTGGGAGTAGGGTCACAGTGTTTACTGTGTTGCTATTGTTAATACTAAATACATTGGTTAGTTAATTAGCAGTCCACACCCAGAACAGTGAACAAGAGCCCCAGAGCAGAGGCCAGGAGGAAGGCATTCTAGCCTGAGCCTGATGCTTGCTAGAGGGACTTGAAACAAGTTATTCCACCTCTGAGGCTTCATTTTCTGGCTATACAATCAAATCACTTGCAAGGGCAAGACTGAGAGCACTTCACTGATAGAAACTATGAGTAGGCAGCCCTGGCCAGTTTGGTTCAGTGGTTAGAGCGTCGGCCTACAGACCAAAGAGTCACGGGTTCGATTCTGGTCAAAGGCACGTACCTCAGTTGCAGTTCGGTCCCCGGCCCTGGTTGGGATCGTGCAGGAGGCAACCAACTGATGTGTCTCTCTCACATCGATGTTTCTCTCTCTCTCTCCCTCCCTCTCTATCTGAAAAAATAAAAATGGAAAAATATCCTCAGGTGAGGATTTAAAAAAAACATTTAAAAAAAAAATAAGTATCCAGTATTTCTTGAGAGCTTACTGTTTACCAGGTACTGCTCTAAATGCTTTACATATATTAACACACTTAATCCTCATGATGACCCTTGGGGTAAATAATGCTGTTATCCTCACTTTATCCATAAGGACACTGAAGCCCAAAGAGATGAAGTAACTCGCCCAAAGTCACAGAGCTGGGCAGTATGAAGCTGAGATTTAAACCTGGGCATCTGACACCAGGGATCACCCTCAACAACTTCACTATGAAGTGACCTGAAAGGAACTGAACACTCATGAGGAGAAGACTTGTCCACACAGTTATACCAGGCCCATAGCACCCAAGGAGAGTCATTCACTCATTCATTTAACACAGCAACAAAGGTTGGCATCAAGAATGCCTCAAATACATTTAGAAATGAGCTTGCCCTCTCACACACTTTCGCCAAAGAACTGTCCTTGCTTACAGAACACCCTGCTTTCTGTGTCTCTGCAACATCTGCTACTACCTCAGGACCCACCCAGTCTCACCAGAGGACCCCTGATCCTCTTAGCCCCAGGAACAAATCCCATCCTTCTCTGTCTGTGTGAGAACACCCTGCCTTGGTTCTCCTCAACACTTGCCTGGGGCATCCTTGATGTTACCCAAATGTGTCCATCTATACAGGCTGAGGACACTTGTGTCCCCTCCAGGTAATCCTTGCCACCAGCCACCAGCTGATCCCAGGTGCTTCCCAGTGTCTTCCTTATTTCAGGGGCCAGGCAAGAGAGCTCAGCAGATGGGCACAGGATTGCCCAAGGTGCCCAAGGCAATCCATGAGAGCCAAGGGAGGGCCTCCCCTAGAGCCAAGCAGACAGCTGAGCCAGGATTTTTAGAATAAATGCATGAATGAATGGGCTGGTATAATATTAGGTGCAAACCAATGTGGTTCCATGCTGTGGGTGCCTGGAGGAGGATCGATGACTTGGAGCAGTCAGGGAGGTTTCCTAGAGGAGGAGCCAGGAGAAAGAAAGCAGAGGAGAGGGCCTCTGGGTCAGGATGCTGGATCAAGCCAGGTGATGGGGGGATATGCAGAGGCACTTACTAGTGGGAACAGAACAGAGAGCCATGGGGGGGGGGGGGGCTGAGGCTGGAAGGCCACCATCCTTCCATAGATGTGCCACACACAGGGCAGAGAAACCAAGAGATCCTGGCCAGGAAACTGGCTCTGACTCTGAATCCACCACCTCCTCCTGCCTTCCCTCCAGACCCTTTCCTAGTCCCACATAACCCACCTCCTTGCCCTCCATCTGACACTGCCTCATGCCTCCATGAGACCCCTGCACAAATCACCATACAGCCTCACTTCTTGACAGCTCCAACTGTCATCTTCCAGCCATTTGTTTGGGTAGGCACCTAGAGAACAACACCATCACTGGTACCAGGGATTCTTTTTGGCTTTATAGTGAATATCCACCCTAACGAGAGGGTGTGTGTATGTCCCTCTGGAATTCTGGGTTTTATAAAACAATATCTAATAAAGAAAAAAATGGCTATTCAGAGGCAGGGGATGGAGGAGCTGAGCATGGACCAAAGAGGGCCATTACAAGGGGCACTCCAGTCACACAGGAGCCCTTAGCCCACAAGCCATGCATGATATCTGGACTTGGAACACATACACATCCCTTAAAACTTGACCCCCTGGATTTAGGACCCACTCTAACTCCAGGCCCTGGGAGTACTGCAGCCCTGACCAAACCTAAATCACACTTAACTAGGCAGAGGATGGGGGGAGGGGCCAAGACAACAAGAACACAACATAGGGCTTCCCTAGCCTTTGCTAAGGCCCCCTCCAGGAGAGGCAGCTGGGTGCTGCCTGAAGCCCCCAACTGGATTCCAAGGAGTTTTGGGCCTTTCCCTTCCTACCTTATTTTCTCTCTTCGTGCTTAGGAGAAAGCAGGAAGGCCATGCAAGCTGTCCAGGCAGACCAGGTGCTGGCATCTTCCCAGAGCTGTGAAGACTCTGAGAGCCCTCTGGCCCACACAAGAACAAAGGGTCTAGGACAGCTAACCATTTCTTCCTTCACCAGCACTCCTCACTGGATGAGAGGAAGCCCCAGGCTCATTGCTCACTGGGCAGGGGAGGCACCAGTGCTGGAGCTGTTAGCATAACGACCAGTAGGGATGAGCCCAGAGCCCAGGGCCAGGCTGGACTGCACGCCCCCTGGCAAGCCAAGCCAAGCCAAGCACAGGAGAACTGAGGGAGGGCTGGGCTGGCAAGGAAGGGGATTGCACCCCACTTCAGGATTTCCTGCCCTCCCACCCCACCAGGGCAGAGCTCTTCCCATCCTCCAAAATATCCCTTCTTCCCCACCCCCACCCCAGGAGCTCTGAGAACAAAGAGGAGATGCTGCTGGCTGGCTGGGGCAGGGCTTGGGGACCCAGGGCAAGAACTGGCAGGGAATACCCACTGGGTCTGGACCCACCCCTCCTCAAAGTGGTAGCCACCTGGAGTGACACATCTCCTGGGGTCCCTTAGCCACCTGGGTGGGGGGAGCAAAAGAGTTGGAGGCTCCTTTCTCACCTCCTTCTCCTCAGCTGGTTCCCACCTCCCACGCACTCTGCCTTAGAATAAAAAGTGGGGCAGGAGGAGGTGAGAAGCCAGGGCTGAAGGCAGACAAAGGGGAGGCCCCTAATGGGTTCCTGGTCCTCCACAGACCCAACATCCTCTCCTCCACTCGTCTTACCCACCATTTCCCCTTTCCTACTCACCCCTGGGGTTGCTTCCTGTGAGGGAAGGGAGCTGGCCCCCAGACTGAAGCTTGTGGAGAAAACTGGCCCCTGACCTGCAACACCGACCTGGGGGTGCCTGGTGCTGGCTCCATCTAGCCCTCTAAACAGGGGCGTATCCTTCAGGATGAAAAGTGCTCAGAATGGGAGGGGGAAAGAGGATGAGCAGGACTGGGACGCGGGTGGGAACCCTTCCACAGCTCCAGGGTCCCAGCTAGCCAACCTGAAATTTGTTGGGGGCAGGAATGGGGAAGGAAGAATCTTCTTTTCTGAGGCTTAAAGAGGGTCAGATCTGTGACCCCCAAAGGGGGGTTTGGGTAGCAATAGGGTGGCCCGTAACCCCAGGGGGGGGGGCACTACGGCCCCCAAGGGCGCTCGCCTCGGGGCTGTCCGCATGGGGCTGGGCCGTGGCCGCCGGGCTCACCTGCATCTCGGGCCCGCCGTCCGTCCCCTTGGCTCGGTCACCAATTGCATGTCTCCCAGGCCGGACCACAGCCCCTGCCCAGCCCCTTCCTCCGTCACCTCCTGCCGACACCTCTATCGGTTGGTCTGTGCGCCTTCGTGGAGCTGGCTGTCCCTCTGTCTGCCCCACCCGGGCAGGAGCCCAGCCGTTGCTGGAGACTGGGCCGCCCCGGTCCGGAGAGGAGGGAGGTCGTGGACCCGGCAGGCGGAGGGGCGGGAGTGCTCAGAACGTGCTATACCGGATCCACGAACCTGCTCCTGCGCCCGGAGCCGGCCTGGCTCGGCCGCTGCCTCTGCCGCTGGGGCCGGGGTCGAGGCCCAGAGCGCTCCGCAGCGGGGCTGGGACGAGGGCTGAGGCCCGCGAGTAGCGGGCGCGCATGCTGCTCGGAGCCCCGCGGCAGGAGAGGGGCCGGAGCGGCGCGGATGGGGACTCCGCACACGCTCTGGAGCCCAGACCCGCCGCCTGCTCGCTCCGGCTCCCGCTCCGGCTCCCGCTCCGGCTCCCACCCGGGGTCTGCGCTCTGCTGCGGCGCGAGGAGAAAACGCGAGGAGCGAGCTTGGGAGGGAGGGGGGGTGCCGTGGGAGGGAGGCAGCGAGTCAGCGGCAGGAGCCGGGCGGGGGAGGAGAAGGCGCGGCCACACAACCTAGGAGGGAGGAGGGGAAGTGGGGGTTTGTCTTTTTTCCGTGAAGGGGGTGGGGAGCGAGCAGTGCCTCAACCACTGCTCTGCATCCACTGAACGGAGAAACTGGCGAGGGGCGCTCCAGCCTCGTGCGGGAGCCGGCACCGGCGCCTGGGTGTAGAACCCTGCACTTGGTGCGCCCCTCCGAGTCTGGGCTCCGGACGAATTTCCGGCCAATGAGACCCTCTTGTGTGCGCGCATTCTCGGGTGGCCATATGCGTGTGCGTGTGAACCCGAGTGTGTTCACACGTGTTAACTAGGGTAACTGCACACTGCTTTGTGAACGGACACACATACTTGAACAGGCAAAGCTCCCCACCGGGTTAGAGCCTTGCCCCCTCTTCTCGGGAATGTCTGGGAATCGCTGTAGGGCCCACAGGCTGGCGGCCTAGGAGGTCAGGCAGGTAGACAGGGAAGCTCCGGATAACGGCGAGGAAGGCACGCCCGCTCAGTGGCTTTACCCCAAACCAGGTCTTGGCCCCCTTTTGCAGGCTGGGTCCTTGCCAAGCCTGGCTTCCTGTCCAGCAGAGGGCAGCAGGCCACTCTGTCTGGTTCTGGTCACGGATACTGCACCCAGGGACCAGCAGAGGGCAGCGTAGACTCTCCATCTGAACTTGGTAGTCCCTCTCCTTGCACCCCAAAGGTCAAGAGGGTCCTGGGCTGGGGTCACATACTCAGGTGGGACCAAGGAATGGGACCTCTCCTCAGACATCCAGATCCTCCTTGTCCAGCAGATACAGAGAATCGGTTGGCGGTGGCGTCTTAGCGAAGCGAGCAGTATGGGCTAGGACCCTTGGGACCTCACCTCCTTTCATCTCCTTGAAGCCAGAAGCACTTTAACACTAAGCTGGTTTTATTAGGATAACTACTAATGCTGACACTCGCCCCTTCTCCACAGTTGGGAGTGCATTCCTTTAGCACACTAGTGCTTCTGACACCTTGGGCCCAGAGGGGTAGGGGTTCTGGCAGGCAGAGATGAAGCTGAGGCTGGGGAAAGGAGAGTGGCCCAGGGCCTCTCAGTCTCAAGACAGACCCCAGGATCCTACCCCTACATGGAGCATGCCTGACATTCGTTGCAGTTAACCTGGCTGGCATGATGCCACCAATCTCTCCCCACCACCAGCACAATCTTGCCGGTCCACTGTTCAGCCTCACACATGCGGCTCAGTGTTGTAGACCTTTTGTTCTAGCTAAATTGATTTTGGGTACCTCTCAGTCTCACTGCCACACCACAGCTAGGGACAGTCCTACCTAGAGAGCCATCTCCAGTCTTCTGTGTCTGTGTCCATCCTCATCCTAGACCTGGCTGGAGCCCATCTCCTAGCAGAAGCTGATGTTGCACTGTTGAGCCCTCTACATTCACCCTCCAACAACTCTGGGAGGAGATGCTGTTCCCCTTGTGACCAAGACAAGGAATCCCAAACTCTGAGAGATTACTTTACTTGCCTGTGGTCACACAGCTGGTTATATGCCTGGAAAGGGGATTTGAATTGCCTTCCAGGGCTGAGAAAACCAGTGGGGTCCGGTTTGACAGAAATGTGGCTTTTTCAAACTTTTAAGAGGTGGGAGGGAAAGAGAAGTGGCACAGGAGCCCCCCTCCCTTCAGGAGCCCAGCGAAGGCGGCTCTCTGGCCCCTCAACTCGGTTGCCTGAATCCCAACCAAGGTTCCAGGTTCCCCCCCCCCCCCCGGACTATTTGTGAGTTACCCAAGAGCTACCGCCTCCCGCGCTGCCTGCTCCCACTAGCCGGGCAGGAATAGATGCACTCATGCTCCTGCGTGAAGGTGCTGCCAGGCACTGCTAGCTCACGCAGACCCACTGGGGCGAGGGTGGGGGGTGGCTATTCCTGGTGTGGCGTCTGATGTAGGCACAGCTTGGCCTTGGCCTATCTCCACCCCTGGCTCACCTGCTCCCTGCTCCAGTAATGTCAGCAGAGAGATGGGGGAGTGCCCAGTGTCCCCCACCCAGCCCCTAGATGCTGCTTGAGGAAGCTGGTATCCCTGGGTAGGGTCTTCTAGGGCCCAAAATGAACCTTTCAGGGGTGACAGCAAAGCTGTGTCTGGGAAGAATTGCCCTGCAGCCTTAGTTCTACATTGTAAACAGTATACAAGCTGTTTCCCTTCCCTGTTTCTCCAAAAGAAATGACCTGTACCAGCATTCCCCATCTTATTTCACCAATGAAAATAATGGGAAAGGGAAGGCTTTGGGGGAAGAACTTGGAGAAAAGGCCTTTTTGAGGGTCTAGCCTGGGCTTGGTGATAGTGCAGGCTCCTGGCCTTGTCACCAGAGACCCCATAAAAAGGGGGCCTGTTACTGGGTCCTCACCCAGTCAGAGCCTCAACATAAGCTGCAGGACAGACATCACACCTGTCTAGAGGGTGGCCCCCAACCTCTCAGGGGTCCCAGGGCATGGGGACACATGGGAGTGGCCCAGTCCAGGTCTACACTGACACAACCAGGGAAGGATACTCAGGAGCTACCACTGAAGAAGGTTCACCCACACCTCCCAGCCTTTGTCCACCTGTTTGGCATGCCCTCTGACTTCAAGACCAAAACTAAGACTGTTCTCTTCTACTCCTGTCTCCTCTCCCCAGACTGAAATGGCCTTAGAGACAAGGCTAGCCTCCTCCCTCTCTGTCCTCAGATTAGGAACTACCAATGGTAAGCCTGAAACAACATGTTATACAGGTGGGCAAAGAGCAGATCCTGGCTTTGGAGTGAAAACTCAAAAACTCCCAGTCAATCAAGAGCTGACGGCTGGAAGAAAGAGCCAGTCTGCCACAGTTTCAGAGCTCACAGCAGAGCAGAGACGCTGGAATGGGTTTGCCAGGAAACTCTGGAGGAGGGGACAGGACTCTGTAACATTTATTCCACCCCTATGGTAAGCCAGACTCTGTACTATACTTTAAAACTTTTAATTTTTTTTAAATCCTCACCCAAGGATATTTTTTCCATTTTCAGATAGAGAGAGAGGGAGGGAGGTAGAGAGAGAGAAACATTGATATGAGAGAGACACATCGATTGGTTGCCTCCTGCACGACCCTGACCAGGGCCAGGGATTGAACTGCCACCGAGGAAGGTGCCCTTGACTGGAATCAAACCCGAGACTCTGATCTGCGGGCCAATGCTCTAACCACTAAGCCAAACTGGCCAGGGCTGAACTATACTTTATATACTTCTCATTTCAAGGTTGGTACTGCTATCCCCATTGTACAGATGACAAAGCTGAGGCTCTAAGAAGACTGACTTGCCCAAATTCACTCTGTGTGCAAGAGGGATAGCTGGGATTTGAAGCTCTGTGTGCCTCGGATGTCAGAGCCCAAGCCCTGCTCTCCCCCACTCTGGGGGAGCTGCGGACGCAGGAGATGAGGCCAGGTCCCCCTGAAAGCACAGGAAGGAATGGGTGGCATACACAGGCCTGCCTGTATGCCTCCTTTGCGCTAGTCCTGCCCCGCCTGCATCCCAGAGGCTCATGGAGTTTTATAATAAGGATGATTTCTGAAGACCCTTTAAATTAATGACAGTTCTAAAATGGCTGGGGCAGTGGAGTCACTGCTGAGACCTCTAATTAGCAAGAAAAACAAAGACCAGGAGCCTAGAAGATAGGGGAGCTGGGCAAGCAGGACTGGAGCAAGGTTGGAGAGTGGGTTAGAGTTAGCATCCAGCTGGAAGTGCCCATGTCCCACTTTATGCCATAAATTTGATTCTGAGCTCTCTTATTAACTTAATGTGTGACCTCGAGAGGGTCATTGCCCATCCCCGGGCAAAGTTTCCCCAACTATGCAATGAGGTGTTGGCTTGGAGGTCTCTAAGTACAGGTCTCTGTGGCCCTGCTTAGACACTGAGGAGAGTGGGATGAGGCCTCATGTAGGGGCTCCTTAAATGGCCCTAAGCCCTAAAAGGCTGAAGCTCTATAAGCTGGGGGCCCTGTAGCTTCCAGGAGCCACAGCAGAAGCCCTGTGCTCACTCAGCATTTGCAGTTCACCATGCTAGGGGTCGCAGAGGCCACTGGTATAATAAAGTCCCAGAGACTGAGGCTGGAGACAAGTGGATAGGAAATGGCAGAAAATCCATAGGTCAGAGCCCCATGCTGGTGCAGCTATGGAGAGGGGCAAGGGATAGGGGGTACCTTACAAGAGTGGCAGGAAAGTCCCCTCTAGGAGGTGAGTCTGGAGCTGTGGCCAGAGTTAGGGCCTTCCTGCCCCCTCTAAACCCCCTCCCATAGAGATAGAAGGGACTCAAGAACACCAGGGTCCCACCATGCATGTTACAGAGGGTCAGGACAAGGTACCTAAAAGGGAAAGGTCTTACTAAATGTCACTCATCCAGGTACATCCCAGTTCTTTGTTCTCTACATCATGCATGGGGCAGCTGGAACAGGGAAGGGAACTGAGGCTCGGCTGAAGGGGACATCTTTGCACAGTGGCTGGTGCACCTGGATGTGGCAATGTGCTGGTCGATATGAAGGGACATCCAAATGGGTACGCTGAGGCCAAGACTCCAAGGGCAGGGTGTGGAAAGCCTACCCTTACTTCTTTGGGGCATCCTCTTTCCTGGCAGTTCCTACTACTGGCATGTGTTGACAT